AGTCGTAAAATTATTTTTATTTTTAGCTATAAACAAAGTTGTACTAAACAAATTTCACTTCCCCACCTATTCATGTAGCTATATTAATCTGGGAGGTTTGATATTTTAAATTTGTACACTTTTTTCATGCCCTCTGCATTCCAGTAATATTGATTAAAAAAAACTATGAAAAGTTCTTTTACCAAAATGCATTTAGGCACCAGGATTAAAATTCTACTTTTCTTAACTACCACTGCTGCTATTCCAAAATAATCTTGCAATGACTGGCCTTAGATCATCATTCAAAGCATTGTAATGCAGGGTACTTTCTCCCCTTTTATTTTCCAGATGAAAGGGTGACCTGGGAGAGAGGGATATGGGAAGTATAGATAGGACAGGACTGAGGGAAACTTCAAATGCAAAGACAGGAAAATCTCAAATCTATCAGTGATAAGAATATATATTTAATTCCAGGAAAGGCAAAGATTGACAGCTTGCTGAAAAATCTAAGATACTAGGAGTCAACTTATAGTATAAGCAAACGGCCTACTTTAACAAAATAAACCTAAACCATAATATTAAGGAAACCACATTATGACTCATTATATTCTCTAAAAGCTATTTTAATTCCTTTTTAAATAAATAAGGAATTAATTTCTAAACATATACAGTAATAGTTGTAGTTTCCTTAACACAATTCAGTTTACTGTGTTATCTTCTCCATGTTCTATCAAATCCACCATGTTAATAGGGATGTATTTGTTTTGGTGGGAGAAATAATAAGAAGTCTCAAGGAATGCTCTTGAAAACAACAAAGACGAAGACCGATTATAAAAAAAAGCATTGAAAACCAATATGCTAACTGAAAGAACAAAACAATGCATGGTCAATATTTGAAGGATTTAGAAGGAAAAGTCAATAAAAAACCCACACGGAGTTAGTTAAGATCAAGAGGGTTAAATAAATTAAAGGCTTTATTTTAGTGGCTCAATAGGTTTTGCCAACTAATTGTATGAAGGCAAAAATTAAACATCTAACAATAAATGTCACCTTTGTAGTAAAAAGGATAAAACAATTGACCATTTAATTTCACAAACTGACTACAAGTAGTGAGTGTTATGACTGAGTTGCAGAATTATTGAAAATTTTGCTAAGTTTGGATTTGAATGTAATAAAACTATTGGGATCATCAAGTTGAGTTTTGGGGAAATGAGTGGATTAACATCTTATGGGACTTTTAGATCCAAACAGATAGGCATCTTGTAACATGTCTGATATAACATCTGTTGAAAGAAAGTCTGGATCATTGATGTTGTAATTCCAGGTGATAACAGGATTGAGAAAAAACAATTGGGAAAAAATATATAATACTTGCAGATTGAAGTCAAATGCTTATGGAAAAAGAAATCCTCTGTTGTACCAATCATGATTGGAGCCCTTGGAACAATACCTAAAGAACTTCCTCGATATCTGGAAATATTGATCAGACCTGAACGCCCTAATTTTATAAAATACCACCCTGCCAGAACTGCCTATATTCTTAAATGGTACCTTAATTGGGTATCATCAACATGCTGATGATACCAAACCCCAAACTGGCAGATGACTCACCCAGTGGTTTCATGTACAATAGATGTTGAAAACGAAGAGAATAAAGCCCTGCAGCACCTCACCTGATGTGACTGGGAAACAATCTCTCCCCATCAATCAACACAGAATGAACATTAGCACATATTATCAGGGAATATATGCCTTCATTATTTTATATTTTAATTGTGTCAACAAAACCAATATATTAAATTGAAACATTAACGTTATTTCATAAGTTTGGCCTAGCTGAGGGGTAGGCAACCTTGGCTCTTTTATGACTCATGGACTTCAACAGCCATGCTGGCTCAGGAATTCTGGGAGTTGAAGTCCACGAGTCATAAAAGAGCCAAGATTGCCTACCCCTGGTCTAGCTGATATAAGGCACCATGCTAGAAAGTGAGAAGCCATGAGTTTAAATCCTGCCTTAGCCATTAAAGCCAGTTGGGAGACTGTGGGCCAGTCACTTTCTCAACCCAACCCACCTCACAGAGTTGTTTCATGGAGAAAACAGGAGAAAAGTGTGTTGGATATGTTCACTGCCTTGAGTTATTTGTAAAAATAATAAAGGCAGCATACAAACAAATGCATTAAAAATATTGATTCAATAATCAGCATCTTAATGTAAGATGAATGTCTTGATCCTATGAAACCACACTTACTGGTATTTTAAACCCCAAATTTCTCATCAAATTTTTTTTAGAGAACTGTGATTATTCCAATTACTTAGGAATAGCCAATGAGACCGATTAAAAAACGTATTTCAGTTGATTTTGGTAAACTAATCACAATCAAAGAGAATGGTTTTTTTTAAAGGTAATGATTGTGGGGAGAAGAAAAATGGAATACCAATACCATTTGTTTTGTTTTCTAATTGTCAATTCAGAACCAGGACTAATGAGTTCTCTTCCAAGAGCAGAATATGAGATCTTTGCCCTGGTCTTTCTCCTAGAAGTTAAAGTTTGTCTGGTGACTCTATTCCTATAATTGAGAATAGAGCTTTCACTACCATTCTTCTTGCTAGATTGCAGAAGTCAAAATCATCAGTTTAATTCACTACAAAGACTACTAAAAGTAGTAACAGTAAGCACTTGTGATCTCACATTAACAGAAGTAAACTTTAATGGTAGCAATTTACAGGCTTGGGGAAAAAATAATTCTTACCACTTTCCTATTATTGTATTAAAACAAGACATAATTGAATTTTGTAGACTATTATATAAAAGCTGATTTAGAGTCAAGTTGAAATTCTAAAATTATTGTCAATATTTTATTAGATCATAAGATGAATCACAGACATTAAGTATAGAGCTTTTTCTTCCAATAATTGAATGTAAACCCCATGTTATCATAATTTCTTAGATAAAACATTCAAATTAGAAAAGTACCAGTGTCTCAAATATTGCCATCTCAAGCCGTATCTTGTTAAACCAAAAATTTGTACAGTACACACACTACATATCCAGATCTCCAATCTTTCACAATGTATTAGAAAACCTGAAAAAATAAACTACAGCTGTACTACAAAAAATAACTCTGTCATAGACTAACTTAAAAGCAAGATCAACCATCAAGGAATCAAATTAAGAGTTGAGAATTCCCCCACCCACCCGCATTTAATCTACTTGAGGCAATGCTTCTCTTAAAAGTTCATCAAACTATCTTTAAGTCTACAGAAGAAAAGCAACTTATTTTCTACTGGCATATATTAAGCATTGTTTTCAATTAAGAGCTAGAAATTTAAAGAAGTAATCCTGTATTCATTAAAACTAAAGTCCTACATAGAAGATATACTGTAAGTTGCCCACCTGGGCTTCTGGAATGTTAAGCCTACAATCCTATGTATGCTTAGTGCCTCTAAATAGACATCCAAAAGATAGCTCTGTAAAGCAGTAAAAATTTGAAAATATTCCTTCATCTAACATTCCATTAAATTACTGGTTGTACAGAAAACCAATAACCAGTACATGATTTTTAATTTCATTAAAACAACGCATATACATTCAATTACATTAAAAGAGATATAGAAGAGATCCTATTTTAAAAATGTATTTGCTAAAATCACTAAAAAAAACTTGCATTTAAAAATAGTTGATAAAAATATTCCTCTGGATTGTACAAGGCAGCGGTGAGAGAACCACTGATCAAAAACTGTTACTCAGATTTTTCTTCTTTTTCCCCTGGTGTATCAGATACTGGGTCCTGAAAAAAAGAGAAAACTTAGTAGTGGTAATACTTTATTTCCAAGTTCAAACGTAAAAGCACTTAAAACGTGTCAAATTTGATATATAGGCCAGCAAAACTTTTATACCGTGAGCCAAGATGTATTAAATCATTTCAATCAGTTTAAAATTTCTGCTTCAGTGTACATTATAGATTAACATGTTCAATCCTCAAGAGGAAAATATTTGGAATAAACTATGAAACACAATGAATATAAACAATTTATTTAAGGTATACAATACTGTTCCATAACTAAGAGCTATAGTGTGAATTATATCACATTTGCACTTTCTGCAATCCTATTCTCTTATTAAGGAAACCTAGCAATTACTGAATAATTAAGCTAGAGAATTAACCTTACTTTATTATACTCAAATTAAACATAATATGAAAATGATACATGGTTGAAATTTGTTGAATTGATTTATATGCCCTCAATATTCAGGCTGAAAATTGTCTAGTTCTCTGTGCACTTAAATAGGAATATTTATAGTGGACATTGTCAAATCTATTTTTTCCATTAGATACTTAATAGAAAGGAAACAACAAACAGAGGACTAATTTACCAAAACCTGGAACAAGCCCCCATTTTTTTGAATCCAGAATAAAAGTTGAATTCCAGTGCCATCTCCAATTTTTGAACCCTGTTCTACCTCTTTCCTGCTGCCCTTTCACCCCTTAAATAAGTATTATGACACTAAATTTTTAAAGTGTCCTCACATAAATTCATACAGCAAGCTGCAAGGGTCTGGGTAAGATGCATCTACATACAATTCTCTACTGAGGTGAAGCCTATTTTTCGAAACATACAAATTAACTGAAAGAAACTCCAGGTATCTATGATGGTTTGATAGAATTACCTCCTCACTTTTTGTTTCTCCATTTTCTGCAGGCAAGTTATCCTTTATTTCTTCTTTGTTATTCTCTTCAGTTTGTTTCTCTTTCAGTCCTTTTTTCCCTTTTGTTGAAGCTCTCTTTTCCTCAGACTTAACCTATAGTAACTCAGAATAGATAATTTATAAAGGCAATTGTCAACCATTGATAACTTTACTTCTAAACCACTGGGCAAAAAAAAGCATACAATATTTATCCAAATAAAGCTATTCTGTGTAAGTTGCCGTGTTTTCCCGAAAGTAAGATCTAGCCCAAAAATAAGCCCTAGCTTGATTTTTGGGAGTAGGCTTAATATAAGCCCTACCCCCCAAAATAAGCCCTAGTTTTGTGGAGAGGCACATGCCTAAAAATCAAGCTAGGGCAGGGGTGGGGGGTGGAGCTGCCCCACGCACCCCGTGCCTACTTACCAGGCCTCCCATGAATCGAAATCTGCCTCTCCTCACCAGCCTACTTCTTCTGTAGTGTCCCCTGGCCTGCATTTCGCAATCAGAGGCCTTTTCAGGAAGGCCTCTACAGCCGAGAACTGAGCTTGGTTCTTGGCTGCAGCAGACGCCTTCCGGAAAGGCCTCTGACTGCAAAATACAGGTAGGAGCTCTATTCTTAGCTGCAGAATGAAGCTGCTCCTTCAGCTGGGTGGGGTCGCCACTATGAGGTGAGTGGAAAAGACACCCCCCGAAAATAAGGCCTGGTGCCTCTTTTGGAGGAAAAAGAAAATAAGATCAGGTCTTATTTTGGGGAAAACACGGTAGTTACATACAATTTACAACCGAAATTGAGCCCCAATTTCCATTGCTAAGCAAGGCAGTTGTTAGTGAGTTTTGCCTGTTATAACCTTTTGGCCAGTCGTTAAGTGAAACATGTAGTCGTTAAGCAAATCTGGCTTCCCCCATTGACTTCGCTTGTCAGAAGCCAGCCGGGAAGGTTACAAATAGTAATCACATTACCCCCAGGACAGTGCAACAGGCACAAATACATTCCAGTTGCAAAGCGTCCAAATTTTGATTATGCGACCATGGGGTTACTGTTATAAGTGTGAATACGTATCATGTCCCTTTTTTCAGTTCCATTGTAACTCTGAGCAATCACTAAACAAATGGTTGTAAGTCAGGGACAACCTGTATACTACAGTATTACATTTCTGTGGAAAATAGTTTTACAATTTGAAAAGTTCCACAAAGCTAAGACATGAGATGGTAAATTATAATAGAGATCACGATAGTTAAAATGCATATTTTTAAATCATCAGCCAAGTTTCCAAAGCAGATTTCAAGTAACTGAATAAACTTCTCACAAAAAAAAACCAAATCCTTACCTTTGAAGTGGTTTTTTTTGGTTTTGCCTCGACTTTGGTGATGGCAGGTTTCTGAAAGGAACAAAAATACGTATTTATTATTATGCCTCACTCTTTGCACAAATTACAGTAGTAAGTCAACTAAAATTTCTACTCACAGCCGATAATCGTGCGGATCGCCTCTTCGGCTGTCGCAAAACAAGGGCAAAATCCTGAAGTTAATCGCCTGCTCAGTACTGCCTACATAACCCCTTTCCCTCCGTTTCTATTACTCTTCCAGCCAAGCAGCACTTACCTCTTCTTCAGCAGGATTCACCTGTAACGAAAGAGTTAATAGTGTTAAAAACCGCGGGAGGGGACATCGCATGCGCGTAACAGACTGAAAGCAGACCAAGAGCCGCGCGCACGCCCCCTTTCCCACCGCCGTGTCGGGATCGCTAGGCTGAGGCCGAGTTGCGCCAAAGGCCACGCAAAATTTAGGAGCTGGGAGGAGTACGCTCGGAACGACCTCAGACTTTCGAACTACTTCGAAGGGAGGCCAACTCATGGCCAGTAATTCTCGCTACGTCCCCCACCCACCCCCCTTGGCTCCCTCCACGAGCACCGAAATACTGGGCCTCACGCCGAAGTCGCCACATAAAACTATTCCAATTTAAAAAGAGAACGCCCCCCCAGTCTTATTTTTTTAAATAAAATGTATCAACCATAAAAGAAACGGCAAGATGAGGTAACGATGAGATAGAGAAGAGACTGTGCGTCCTGGACGCGCTTTATTGTGTGCGCCCGCCCTTCGCCAACCTTTCTCTTCGGCATGGCTGAGTAAGCTGCCCTCGCCTTTTCCTTGTGCTTTATATTTTGCCCTTAGCGTCAGGCAGCGCGGGCGCTTGTTCTTAACAGCCGGAGCGGTGACGATTACCAGCTCTTACTCGCAGCCTACGGGAGCCGGATTCTCACTGCTGCGCACAAACTGTCTCTTGCCTGCTGATTTCCACCCCCACCCCCACCCCCATCCCAGCAGCGCCAGCGGCACTGCAACAAGATCCAGCCGGATTGAGGGAAGGGTGGGCGCGCGCGCGCGCGCCCTCTATCGGCTGGAGGCGCTCGTTCCTATTGGCCGCCTGACTTGTAGGACAGCTAATAAACCTCAATAGCCGGCCCCATCTGCAAATTGTCCCTTTGAATTTGGTTTTACCACGGAGACGCGGATGCTATCTAGGCGGATCTAACCGGGGTTCCGCCCATTTTGTATACGTCACAGTAGAAGTGTGACAGATGGCCACCGCATCTGCGCAGTATTGCTGAACGGCTTTCTGTGAGGCAGCGCCGCGCCGCAAAGATGCGCGCTTGCGCATTTTTGACAAGTGGGCGCCCGCTTCAAGTGTTTGCCCGTTCGAGTAATTATGTTTGTGAGAACAGCGTTTCTTTTTCTCCCTTTTCTTTGCACATCTCTAACCCAAGACATGACTGAAGTACGTGTAGAGGCGAAACATTTGACAACGCATGGTGGCGCGTGGCTTCTCGTCCTGAGCTCCGTCTTCTTATGCAACCTCCTCAAAATCCTTCTACCCTCCTGTTCTTCCATTGTAAGTGTCATCGGTCCACCGGGTTTCCATGGCGACCGCATTTGATGTACTTTTCGATCTTCTTTTATTTCTCAGTAGAAGAGAAACTATTGATTTGTTCCCTGAGGATGGGAGACAGATGCACGAGAGGAAACATTCTAAGGTGGCTTCCTACCCCATGTTTATTTTCTCCTTATTTGTTTTTTCCTTGGCAACACTAACACTTCCCAACCTAGTATCCTGCTGCAAGTCCAAGATTTGCTAGCTTGCATGGATACAGCGAGTTATAGTCCCTGCACATGTTCATTCAGAGATGTTTCCTTGCCAGATTCTTTAGTGCCTTCAACAATGGCAGAGCTTCTAATGCAGTGTTTCTCAACCTTGACAATTTTAAGGCATGTGGACTTCAACTCCCAGAATTCCACAGCCAGCATTGCTGGCTGTGGAATTCTGGGAGTTGAAGTCCACATGCCTTAAAATTGACAAGGTTGAGAAACACTGTACTGCCTTCACTGGAAAAGTTCTTTAGAATTCTGGGAGATATTTGGAGATGTATCTTGAAAATAACCTGTTGATCTGTATAACACAGTTAAAAATGGAAATGCTTTGTGACACTTTGTATTATTGTCATAAAATGGTTTAGGATCATTTTATGTCATACAATGTTTTATAACAATTTGCCAGATTTCAGTGTCGTAGGAATCATGGGTTCCACGTTTTGGACACATTATGTAAGCTAGCCTATTTGAGGTACTTTGGTTCAAAAATGGTTTCCCTATGATGCACTGCTTTGCCCAGTTAAAAGTTATATACATAAAGTCTCAATGAATCGTCTTTACCGGTTCTAAAGGCGAATACACTTCCTAATGAGTGTTCTTTCTATATATAACCAAACCTCTTCTACCTAACTAATATAACTCAAATTTATACCTTGTTTTTTTATAGTAAACCAAAAACTTACTTAAAATCTCATAATAAAAACAAATTTTCAATATTACAATAAATCAAAATAAAAATTATAAGTAAATTATGTTGTTATGGTATTTAATAATTGTATATTTGTTTTAAAAGAGAGTTAAAGGAAGTTATAGATTTGTTAGATTAATAGTTGATTAATGTTAGTTAGATTATGATTATTTTATTGTTAACCCTGTGATTGGCTCTGGGAAGTGAGGGGGGGAGGGATGGAGGGTTGGGTTTGGGGGAGGGGGGATTTATATTGTAAAATTTTATAAAATTTTCAATTAAAAAAAAAGTTATATACACACACACATTTTTTACTATATAGAATTGATTCACAAGGAAATTTCCAGTGGATGCTGGTATCAAAGCTGAATAATCATTTGAAGTTTTTAAATGTTCCTATTGTAGTTTGAGGAAACTAGTTTTGCTATGGAGTCCATCCTTATATAAGAATAAAATTAAGGCACCCCTCAAGGCTAACTTGTCTAGCTTTGATAAAAAAAAAGTGCAAAAGGGAATCCATAACTCCTAATTAGAACCACATATGAATTTCTCTTAGTGTTAGAAAGTTGTCTTCCTAACATTTCCTTGGACTCTGCCTTTCTGTAATTTTTATTTATTATCATGTCAGTTTGTAGGCAAAGGCTTCAAAGGGCTTATAAAATATTATACAGAATAGGATTAAAGCCTCCCAGGCCCCGACATCTGCCTCGCCAGCCCACTTCTGCAGCCGCTCGCCACCGCTTGCACGTATCGCCCCCAGCCTCCATTTTGACAGCAGACGCCTTCAGGAAAGGCCTCTGCAGCTGAGAAATGAGCTCCGGATTGACACGTGCAGCACTCCCCGGCCTCCATTTTGCCATCAGAGGCCTTGGCTTCTGATGGAGAAATGGAGGCCGGGGGCGCCATGCATGTCAATCATTTCTTGGCTGCAGATGCCTTTCCTGAAGGTCTCTGCCGGCAAAACGGAGGCCAGGGGCAACACACACAAGCGGCAGCAAGCAGTCGCAGAAGAAGTGGGCTGGCGAGGCAAGGCAGGTGTCAGAGCGTAGGAGGCCTGGCTGCAAGTGTCCTGAGGTAAGAGGGTGCGGGGAGCGTGGGGCAGTTCCACCCCTCCATCTCCACACTAGCTTGATTTTTACCCGTGCACTTCGCCTTACCTTGTGCAACCAGGTGCTATGGAGTGGGTGGGGTCTTAAGTAGGGCTTATTTTCACGGTAAGTCTTATTTTCCAGGAAACACTATAGAAAAGCAACAACAAGCTGCCTGATGTACCAACATTTGGGATAGTATATTTTCTGTTGCTCTTGAGTGCTTTCTTGAAGAACCATGTAAATAGCTCTCCAAAAATACAATAGGTAGAATGTGGCCCTCAGCAACTTTTGCTCCCAGATTTTACCAGACAAGCTGATTCAATTTGGAGGAAGAATCTTACAGTTCAAGTGTGATGAAATTCTAATTCTGGAAATAAAAACTTTTTTTTTCCAAACATTGCAGACCAAGAACAGAAGAATATTTGTTATGAATGTTGTGATTATTTTGTGTAATAACCATATGTTAGACACTCATTTAAAATTATGAAATTGTTTAAATAGACTTCTTTTTCTCTTTATCAGATATCTAGGTTGCTACAAAAGGATGCTGAGCAGGAATCTGAAATGCGATCTGGTATTCAGAGCATGAAGCAAGAACTTTCTACCATTAGTATGATGGATGAATTTGCCAGATATGCTCGATTAGAAAGGAAAATTAATAAAATGACTGATAAGCTTAAGACACATGGTACAGATTTGTTAACTATATTTGCATGTCAGTTCATTTTTGCCATCTTTTTTCAGAAGTGTTGCTAATCTTATGACTTCTTAGTTACAAAACAAAATGTGGCGATATCAAAATGCATTTTGTCTGGGGATTAAGCCATTTGCTGGCTCATCATATTTTCTTATGTGAACACTTTAGCTTTTTAAAGAAAATAAAACTTATATGTGCACTTTTAATTCAAATTAATTGTAGATTTATTTTAAAAAATAATGCATTTTTTCATTTAATTAATTAGAATTGCTTAAAGGGTTTTTTTATAAGTTTCTGTGTGTATATATGTTTGTGCCAAGATTCAATTTATTTCACATGTCACATTCTTCAGTTTATCAAAACTCAGCATAGATTTCTGAAAGAATCTGATTTTGGTATGACATTTTTAAAATTGCTGAATTAGTAGAAATCTGTTTTAATAATATTCAAATTTGGCTTTCATTTATATATGTATATGTACAGTATGTATGTGTGTATATATATGTATGTATGTGTGTGTGTATATGTGTATGTATGTATGTATATATATGTGTGTGTGTCTAATTACATTAAAAATTCGAATCCTGGGTAAAGCCATGCAGTAAAAAACAAATAAATGATTTATTTATATAGTTATTAAACTATATTTGTTAATATAGTTATTAAACGATTTCTAGTTTGATATTATCCTGGTGTTCGTATTTATTTGTTTTTTTACTGCATATATATATATATATATATATATATATATATATATATATATATATATATATACAGTAAAAAACAAATATATATATATATATATGCATATATTTGATATGCCTGACCTATATGCATATATATATATGCATATAGGTCAGGCATATCAAACACGCGGGCCACACCCATCCCAGTCCAGCAAGGGCAAAACAAGTCCCAATACCTCATGATACAGCCCATGATGCGATTGGGTTTGACACCCCTGATATAGGTATAGAGGGCTGTGTGTGTTTGTGTGTGTATAGTATATGTATGTATACAGGTAGTCCTTGCCTTACAGCCACCATTCAGCCTAAAATTTATGTTGGTAAGTAAGATAGTTAAGTGAGTTT